ATTTTTTTTTTTTTTTTTTTTTTTTATTTATTCATTTATTTATTTATTTATTTTGGGTAAACTTCATGAAACTTTAAACGGTCCCACTTTATATTAAGTGACCTTAACTTATATGCACTTACACTGTAATTAATAGTTTTTTTGCAATGTACTTATTGTGTAAATACATTTATACATTGTATTTATGCTTGATAATATACCTGCATGCAATTACATCTGTAATTATTTTCTTTTGACCAACCCTTACACCTTAACCCACTCTTAAACCTAATCATACCACCAAACCTGTCTCTAATCGTATCCATATCCCACCTCAAGAGCACCAGAAGTGTTCTGCAATACATTATGAACACAATACGTACGTTATATTTATGTTTACATGTAAGTACATAGTAGATAAGGCCACTTAATATAAAGTGGGACCTAATAAACTTTGAGATTTTATCTGAGACTTGTGTGTGGTGGCATGCATGCATATTACATGCCTAAAGGTTTTCATACATTAGTTGTAAATGTATGCATAATTTATCTTTTTTCCCCCACGATTATCTTCTATCGGATCCTTCTGCATGATACGAATTCTCTAGCGTACACCCAGACTTTCTGGCGAATTGTGCACAGGCATCAAAGTTGCATGCCCTTTGTGGTTCCCACTGGAGCCACTGCAGTAACACAGTGATGGGAATGACATGAGTTGAGGCTACAGTTCACGCAGTTCACATACTCACAAAAACATGCGAGGCTCAAGATCAGCCTTGTATTAATATATTTCAGTAATGGGAACTTTCACTTTGGGCTATATATAGAGTCAGCTGTGTAAACTGGAACTGGGAGAAAAGCTTTAGATTTTGTTCAAAAATGTTTTTGATCATTTATGCTGGCTCTACTGTGGTCTATTTTATAGTGAGTCATGTATAATTGTATGTTATTCCATATTTCAGTTAATAAGAATTGTGCTTATGTTATGAATAGGTCCAAATTGAACCTGCTGGCTTTGTTGCAGTTTCTGCATTTGTATGTGGAGAGAAATGATATGTGGTACAGTAAGTTATGTGTAGTTTTAACAGAGATGAAGATACTACACTCTGGATTAATTCCCTTCCCGAAACAAAAATTTACAGATTATTTACTCCAAGACTATTTAGTCCAAGATTTCTTTCATTTGTGAAGAATTTATATTTTTAGCTAAATATGAATTTTCTATATTGTGGACGTCAGTGTTTCCTCCAAAATGCAGCTACAAATGGCTCTAAATAATCCCATCTGTTAAATAAGGGTCTTAGCAAAAATGTTCTAAAACTGTATTTTTTCCTCGACTCATTGTTTGTTGTCATTTATCTTGTAGTCCCATCTTGTCTGAATGTGTAGGGGAGGTGCTGCCCCCTGGCTCTCAGGAAGTGGCAGAGTTTTATACATTCCCTTATGTAATTTCGAGACGCTCACTCAAGTAAACACTCACTAAACGGAATGTAAACTGCACAGATTACTGCATTTTGGAAGTGACTAAAGAAAGGAAGGATGAAAAGTTTTTAATTAAAATTAGTCCAGTAAATTATCTTTATTATTTTTGTTCTTGAAGTGACAATTTATTTGATGGAATTTAATCAAATTGGTAAAAAAAAAAATATTTCACAAATGAACTCATAAGGCTGAGGGCATTTCAATTCTGCGCATATTTAATTCATGTGTGCATTCTCATGCATATACACTCACCGGCCACTTTATTAGGTACAACTTACTAGTACAGAGTTAAATCCCCTTTTGCCTTCATAACTGCCTTAATCCTTCGTGGCATAGATTCAACAAGGTACTGAAAAAAATCCTCAGAGATTTTGGTCCATACTAACATGACAGCATCAGACAGTAGCGGCAGATTTATCGACTGCACATCCATGATGCGAATCTTCAGTTCCCCCACATCCCAAAGGTGCTCAATTGCATTGAGATCTGGTGAGTGTGGAGGCCATTCGAGTACAGTGAACTCATTGTCATGTTAAGGAAACCAGTCTGAGATGATTCACGCTTTATGACATGAATCGTTATCCTGGTGGAAGTAGCCATCAGAATATGGGTACACTGTGGTCATAAAGGGATCGACATGGTCAATAACAAGAAAATCCAAGTAGAACAGCAGTTTCTGAAATACTCAGAACAGCCCGTCTGACACCAACAACCATGTCATGTTCAAAGTCACTTAAATCATCTTTCTTCCCCATTCTGATGCTCAGTTTGAAGTGCAGCAGATCAGCTGGACATCATGTCTACATGCCTAAATGCATTGAGTTGCTGCTATGTGATTGGCTGATTTAAAAATTTGCGTTAATGAGCAGTTGGACAGGTGTACCTAATAAAGTGGCCAGTGAGTGTATATGGAAATACTTCACCCAAAACTGTATATTCTGTCACCATTTCCATCATCATACTGTATAGCCCCTTTCAAAATTACATGTTTTTGTCGGTTAAAACAGACACTGTGTCAGATTTGACTTGAGGAACCATCATAACAAGTCATAAGTGTACCGCTGCCATAACACCTCAAAGCTTCCTTCATTATAATGGAATCACTCGACTCTCTTCATTTCGCCCCTTTTAACAATAGTATCCGGATGCAGCCTTTATGGTGCAAGCTGAGATTGCATTACTCAGCGATGCAGTGTCAGACACAATGCACTCAAATGGAGTGAGTGACGTCACTGTGAGGGGTAGGGTTAGGGGTGGGGTTAGCCTATTAAAAAGCATTGGATGCAGCCCAGATTGCACTGCACCAGGTCTGCATCCAGACCCCTCTCAATTTTAAAGCTGTGTACTGAAGAGATTATGTGATCCTATTGGTCAACCTTTGTGACAGAACTTGCCATAGATGAAGGGGGAAAACGTTTAAACATGATAGACTTTTTGCGATTATGTTGTGAAGCACCGCAGACATGTATCCGTTGTTGTTCACTATGGCACACTACATGAGAAAACTATTTAAT